TCACTCCAACACTGGGCTGAGTGCACGTATGTCACTCCAACACAAGGCTGAGTGCACGGATGTCACTCCAACACTAGGCTGAGTGCACGGATGTCGCTCCAACACAAGGCTGAGTGCACGGATGTCACTCCAACACTAGGCTGAGTGCACGGATGTCGCTCCAACACAGGGCTGAGTGCACGGATGTCACTCCAACACTGGACTGAGTGCACGGATGTCACTCCAACACTGGGCTGAGTGCACGAATGTCACTCCAACACTAGGCTGAGTGCACGGATGTCACTCCAACACTGGGCTGAGTGCACGGAGGTCACTCCAACACTGGGCTGAGTGCACGGATGTCACTCCAACACTGGGCTGAGTGCACGGATGTCACTCCAACACAAGGCTGAGTGCACGGATGGCACTCCAACAGAGGACTGAGTGCACGGATGTCACTCCAACACAGGGCTGAGTGCACGGATGTCACTCCAACACAGGGCTGAGTGCACGGATGTCACTCCAACACAGGGCTGAGTGCACGGATGTCACTCCAACACTGGGCTGAGTGCACGGATGTCACTCCAACACTAGGCTGAGTGCACGGATGTCACTCCAACACAAGGCTGAGTGCACGGATGTCACTCCAACACTAGGCTGAGTGCACGGATGTCGCTCCAACACAGGGCTGAGTGCACGGATGTCACTCCAACACAGGGCTGAGTGCACGGATGTCACTCCAACACTGGGCTGAGTGCACGGATGTCACTCCAACACTGGGCTGAGTGCACGGATGTCACTCCAACACTAGGCTGAGTGCACGGAGGTCACTCCAACACTAGGCTGAGTGCACGGAGGTCACTCCAACACTAGGCTGAGTGCACGGAGGTCACTCCAACACTAGGCTGAGTGCACGGAGGTCACTCCAACACTAGGCTGAGTGCACGGAGGTCACTCCAACAGTAGGCTGAGTGCACGGAGGTCACTCCAACACTAGGCTGAGTGCACGGATGTCACTCCAACACTGGGCTGGGTGCACGTATGTCACTCCAACACAAGGCTGAGTGCACGGAGGTCACTCCAACACTGGGCTGAGTGCACGGATGTCACTCCAACACTGGGCTGAGTGCACGGAGGTCACTCCAACACTGGGCTGAGTGCACATCGGGCACTCTAGCAAGGTTAAGAGTTCATTTAAGTACCCTGGGATGGTCTTGAATGCCGCCCCCCTCCCACGGGCTCAGGTTCCTGGGACCCAGCCTTACCCCAATTCTTGAAACCTGTTCAAAATGTGTGTCTCAAGAATAGTAGCTGGCAGCCCATTCTACTCTCCCACAGCCTCTTTACAAACCACTTGTTCCACTCTTCCCATCCCGGTATATATATCACGTGAGTAAACTGTCCATTCCTTCTGTTCCATAGGAAAAATGTAGATTAGTCTGTATTCATTCCTGTATGGGGGAAGAGTAATGAGTACTCAACACCTGTATGGGGGAAGAGTAATGAGTACTCAACACCTGTATGGGGGAAGAGTAATGTGTTCTCAACACCTGTATCGGGTAGACTAATGAGTATTCAACACCTGCATGAGGAAGAGTAATGAGTACTCAACACCTGTATGGGGGAAGATTAATGAGTACTCAACACCGGCATGAGGAAGAGTAATGAGTACTCAACACCTGTAAAATGTACAGTCATGAGTAACGCTCAAAATATATTGGTAATAGTTTGTAATGCTTAAAACATCTGTGTCACGCCTTTCAGAGCTGAAAACACATGTCACTGAGTGTAAGGTTGTGTCACCAACTGTGACATAGTTGGTAACGTTCACATCACACGAGTGCTTCATTGTAACACTTATAACACCTGTGTTATGGTTTGTAGAGAGCTTTAAACATCTGTGTCATGATTTGCAGGAGATTTAAACACCTGTGTCATGATTTGTAGGAGATTTAAACACTTGTGTCATGGTTTGTAGAGAGCTTTAAACATGTGTCATGATTTGTAGGAGATTTAAACACCTGTGTCATGGTTTGTAGGAGATTTAAACATCTGTGTCATGGTTTGTAGAGCTTTAAACATCTGTATCATAGTTTTTAGAGCTTTAAACATCTGTGTAACAATTTGTAAAGCTTTAAACATGTGTGTCATGGTTTGTAAAAAACTTTAAACATCTGTGTCACGGTTAGTAGAGCTTTAAACACCCGTTTCCTTATATTGCCAACGCAAATTCTAGCAGGTTCCGGCCCCTACCAACCTCTGGAGGGTCATCAAGTCCACCACAATACCTTACAGACCAATCAACGCGTTTGGTGTCGGCCTTAAGTCCTACCAACCTCTGGAGGGTCATCAAGTCCACCACAATACCTTACAGACTAAACAACACGTTTAGTGTTGGCCTTAAGTCCTACCAACCTCTGGAGGGTCATCAAGTCCACCACAATACCTTACAGACCAAACAACACGTTTGGTGTTGGCCTTAAGTCCTACCAACCTCTGGAGGGTCATCAAGTCCACCACAATACCTTACAGACTAAACAACACGTTTAGTGTCGGCCTTAAGTCCTACCAACCTCTGGAGGGTCACCAAGTCCACCACAATACCTTACAGACCAAACAACACGTTTGGTGTTGGCCTTAAGTCCTACCAACCTCTGGAGGATCATCAAGTCCACCACAATACCTTACAGACTAAACAACACGTTTAGTGTTGGCCTTAAGTCCTACCAACCTCTGGAGGGTCATCAAGTCCACCACAATACCTTACAGACTAAACAACACGTTCAGTGTTGGCCTTAAGTCCTACCAACCTCTGGAGGGTCAATAATTCTCGGTATATTGACCCCCTGGCCAAGGTGTCAAAGCCTCCCCCTCCCCCCCCCACCTTCATTGTGTAATGTCAAGCTGAACAAACAAACAAACTATAGTGTCTCCATTGTCCCAGGAGAGTCCATTGTTTCATGAAGCATTTTATTAATTAATTTGTCAATTAAACATTTGAATGTTTTTTTGTTGTTTTTATTTAAGATAAACAATAATTTGTGGTGGAAAGTTATACAAAAAAAATTATCAAATATGTACCGATATTTTTGTTGTTGTTGCTATTATGATGATTTTAGATGTTATTTGTAAATAAAAATAATGTAATAAAATATTTGTAAATAAAAATAATGTATTAAAACATTTGTAAATAAAAATAATGTAATAAAATATTTGTAAATAAAAATAATGTAATAAAATATTTGTAAATAAAAATAATGTAATAAAATATTTGTAAATAAAAATAATGTAATAAAATATTTGTAAATAAAAATAATGTAATAAAATATTTGTAAATAAAAATAATGTATTAAAACATTTGTAAATAAAAATAATGTAATAAAATATTTGTAAATAAAAATAATGTAATAAAATATTTGTAAATAAAAATAATGTAATAAAACATTTGTAAATAAAAATAATGTATTAAAACATTTGTAAATAAAAATAATGTAATAAAATATTTGTAAATAAAAATAATGTAATAAAATATTTGTAAATAAAATAATGTATTAAAACATTTGTAAATAAAAATAATGTATTAAAACATTTGTAAATAAAAATAATGTAATAAAATATTTGTAAATAAAAATAATGTAATAAAATATTTGTAAATAAAAATAATGTATTAAAACATTTGTAAATAAAAATAATGTATTAAAACATTTGTAAATAAAAATCTCTGATGAAAAGGTATTTTGAATCAGGAAGTAAATACAATTATCTCTAGTGATGAGCTGACCGTAGTTCTATACCGAACACGTCGATGTGGCCAGAACCGAACACGTCGGTGTGGCTAGAACCGAACACGTCGGTGTGGCCAGAACCGAACACGTCGGTGTGGCTAGAACCGAACACGTCGGTGTGGCTAGAACCGAACACGTCGGTGTGGCCAGAACCGAACACGTCGGTGTGGCTAGAACCGAACACGTCGGTGTGGCCAGAACCGAACACGTCGGTGTGGCTAGAACCGAACACGTCGGTGTGGCTAGAACCGAACACGTCGGTGTGGCCAGAACCGAACACGTCGGTGTGGCCAGAACCGAACACGTCGGTGTGGCTAGAACCGAACACGTCGGTGTGGCCAGAACCGAACACGTCGGTGTGGCTAGAACCGAACACGTCGGTGTGGCCAGAACCGAACACGTCGGTGTGGCCAGAACCGAACACGTCGGTGTGGCTAGAACCGAACACGTCGGTGTGGCTAGAACCGAACACGTCGGTGGGGCCAGAACCGAACACGTCGGTGTGGCTAGAACCGAACACGTCGGTGTGGCCAGAACCGAACACGTCGATGTGGCTAGAACCGAACACGTCGGTGTGGCCAGAACCGAACACGTCGGTGTGGCTAGAACCGAACACGTCGGTGTGGCTAGAACCGAACACGTCGGTGTGGCCAGAACCGAACACGTCGGTGTGGCTAGAACCGAACACGTCGGTGTGGCCAGAACCGAACACGTCGGTGTGGCTAGAACCGAACACGTCGGTGTGGCCAGAACCGAACACGTCGGTGTGGCTAGAACCGAACACGTCAGTGTGGCCGGAACCGAACACGTCGGTGTGGCCAGAACCGAACACGTCGGTGTGGCCAGAACCGAACACGTCGGTGTGGCCAGAACCGAACACGTCGGTGTGGCCAGAACCGAACACGTCGGTGTGGCTAGAACCGAACACGTGAGACACCAGCCTATACCATATACATATCATTAGGGCCACCCACCTCCCCCCCCCCACCATAAGACCCCATCACCCACCTGCCCCCCACGTACTATAAGACTCATCACCCACCTCCCCCCCATACAATAAGACCCATCACCCACCTCCCCCACGTACTATAAGACCCATCACCCACCTCCCCCCCATACAATAAGACCCCATCACCCACCTGTCCCCCACGTACTATAAGACTCATCACCCACCTGTCCCCCCACTATAAGACTCATCACCCACCTGCCCCACGTACTATAAGACCCATCACCCACCTGCTGCACACTTCATCAGCTTGCTAAAGTCAGGGATGCACTCTTCTCGGTTCATCACTCGATCAAAGTTGAGCTCGTCGAAGGCGCACGCGTCCATGCAGCTGTCACTCACGTTGTTCACTCGACAGCACTCAGATACGTCGATCTCCAGCTTAACCGGCTTCACGATCTGAACCTGAGTGGCAGAACAGGTCTGAGTGTTAACACGGAATGTAAACAATGCTATAACCTCTTCCACCTTGCTGGCAACAGTGTATGCAAATCTGGCAATTAAGGCCAGTATTCGCTATTTTATTGGTAACTGTGCATATTAATAAAGTAATTAAGACTAAGCTTCACACCGTTTTTTGGCAACACTGTTAATAATGTAATTAAGGTGTCTTTATTGGCTACACTGTACGCTTATTGGCTAGTTAAACTATCTCAACTATAATGGGTATACTTGTAGTGAGTGTAGCTGGGGTGTGTAGTGACACACACACACACACACACACACACACACACACACACACACACACACACACACACACACACACACACACACACACACACACACACACACACACACACACACACACACACACAACAGCAACAAAACTACATTTTTCTTATATTTACATTCAAAATGTGTATCGAATATGACCGGGTAGTTTCCTCCCCCTAAAAATAAAACTCGCTAGACGAGGACGCCGTCGAGACCAATTCCCTACACAGTTGTTATGTTTAGACACGAGACCAACCAAGTGTGTGGAAGAGAGTCGTGTCATCCAACTCCTGCAATACAGACACACACACACACACACACACACACACACACACACACACACACACACACACACACACACACACACACACTCAATGTTTCTAATATATGTGAACGATCTTCCAGAGGGTATAGACTCATTCCTCTCGATGTTTGCTGATGATGCAAAAATTATGAGAAGAATCAAGACGGATGAAGATAGACAGAGACTACAGGATGACCTGGATAAACTGGAGGAATGGTCTAGAAAATGGCTGCTGAAGTTCAACTCTGGAAAGTGTAAGGTGATGAAATTAGGCGAAGGGAGCAGGAGGCTGAACACAAGGTATCATCTGGGAGGGGAAATCCTGCAAGAATCAAATAGAGAAGGATCTGGGGGTTAATATCACACCGAACCTGTCCCCAGAGGCCCACATCAAAAGAATATCATCAGCGGCATATGCTAGACTGGCCAACATAAGAACTGCCTTCAGAAACTTGTGTAAGGAATCTTTCAGAACCCTGTATACCACTTATGCAAGACCAATCCTGGAGTATGCAGCTCCAGCCTGGAGTCCATACCTAGTTAAACACAAGACAAAGTTAGAGAAGATTCAGCGGTATGCCACCAGGCTCGTCCCGGAACTGAAAGGATTGAGCTACGAGGAAAGGCTAAAGGAGCTGAACCTCACATCCCTGGAAAACAGAAGAGTAAGGGGAGACATGATAACCACCTACAAAATTCTCAAGGGAATTGACAGGGTGGACAAAGACAAACTCTTCAGCACGGGTGGGACACGAACAAGAGGACACAGGTGGAAACTTAGTACCCAGATGAGCCACAGAGACGTTAGAAAGAATTTTTTCAGTGTCAGAGTAGTTAATAATTGGAATGCACTAGGAAGTGATGTGGTGGAGGCTGACTCCATACACAGTTTCAAATGTAGATATGATAGAGCCCAGTAGGCTCAGGAATCTGTACACCAGTTGATTGACAGTTGAGAGGCGGGACCAAAGAGCCAAAGCTCAACCCCCGCAAGCACAATTAGGTGAGTACAATTAGGTGAGTACTCACACGCTCTTCAACTCTTGCAGACGATGAGTCTCAATAACATGGCTGAGGAACTACTGACTACCACACGAGACTTGATAATAACACAAGACGGACCGAAACGTCGTCGCTTCTCACCTTAATATACAAGAAAGTAGGAAGACAGGACCCATATAGGACTAGAGACAGGTGTTACAGGCATGGAGTTGCTTCAAGGTCCTGTAGTGACTCACAGGGGCAACAGCCAACCTGTGGAGCCAACAGCACATAAATCCAGTCTCTCTCTCAGCACCAAAATGGCTTCGGTGATATAAGAACATTAGAACAAAGGTAACTGCAGAAGGCCTATTGGCCCATACGAGGCAGCTCCTATTTATAACCACCCAATCCCACTCATATACATGTCCAACCTACGCTTGAAACAATCCAGGGACCCCACCTCCACCACGTGGGGTCCCTCGATATCAGGTCAAGTCACCTGTATCTGACTGCAATCATAAAACGAGTATGATAAAACAGGTGAAAATAAGGTGATCTGAGAGAGTGTTCCTTGGCTTCCAGGAAACGTGTTTGACACAATGGCTCTCTGAAGGTTGTGGCGCCAACTTGAGAAGACACAGCTGGTGTTCCTGGAAGATTACTGGCGTGGAAGACGCCAGGGAACCTCTCTGGCCGGATAGTTCAATCCCAGTGGAGGAGCCGGATTGTTGAGAGACCACAGGTGCTGTGGCACATGAATCACTGCCGGAAACCATTCCGTTCCGGATATATGCAGATGATCTGACAGAGAAAACTGGACAGTGTTTTGATAAAAACCTGACGAGAAGGATTGGAAACGAATATATCTGTAGACGGCCACAGGGGACAAGCTGCGCTTCAGTGATGTTTGGAATATGGTTGCTAGATTTCAACCATGACAAATGCAAAGTAATGAGTGATACAAAGTAGACCTCGATGGCCTTAGAGATAAAAAGAAGAGATAGCTGCTGGGAACATGATAAAGATGTGAAACAAACAGCAAACCATGACCTTAAGGAAAACATTTCAAAATATCGATGGTAGCATACACTGACCTAATACATATTCTAGTAAGCTTTAGGAAACTGGAGAAAAGAAACTAGACAAAGAAACTAGACAAACCTAGAACAATATATGTAACCTATGTAAGACCAACTGTTGTGTATGCAGCCCCGATTTAGAGATCCAACCTGGAGCCCATAATAAAAAAATGACAACAAGAGGACCTGTGCAAAAATAGACTACTAATGTGATGACGGAGAGAAGTGAACCCTCGTCTCCTTGGAGGACAGAAGGTAAGGTGAGGATATGATAACAACGTACAAGATACTGAGGGAAATTATCAGGGTGGATGAAGAGGCAATGTGTAAAATAACAGCCCGGCCAGAGGACACAAGTGGAGGCTGGACACACACACAGATGAGCTCAGGAGATGACAGGAAATACTTACAGTAAGGAACAAATCCATAAGGGCCGTGACGAGGGCTCGAACCTACGTCCGAGAGGATCCCAGACGCTGCCTTAATCGACTGAGCTACGACATGGTTAAAACAATTGCAACCGGCAAATCATCCTGATTTACCCACAGATCCTGCAGCCTCTCCGAGACACAAACCAGGGTTATACGCAATTCATTTGATACATCACGCTATTGTGATTTCTGTGTGTAATACAGTAAGTGGTTGCAAGTCAGTGCAGCATCTACATGAAACAATTACAGAGGTGAATGCATTAAACTACAACAAACAAATACAATGATAAATACAAGGACTGAATATCATTGTATTAACTGACAAGTGGAACGGAGCCGCAGACCAGTCATGCGGCTGGAAGGAAACAGTTAGTCATAAGTTATAAGTAAATGGCATGAACTGGAGAAGGGAATACTTGAGTCTGCCATGACACACAAGTTTTAATGTTGATGTTATCAAAACTTGGGGGTCAGACCGGGCCCAAGAGCTCACTCTCGGCCCTGCAGGCACAACTAGGTAAGTAAATACACACACACACACATACACAGGCAAAATAACGCACAAATTAACACATGTATGAAGGAGCGTTACCTTAGTGGTGTGTGTGCAATGAGCCTTACCTTAATGAGCTGTGTATTGAGCCTTACCTTAGTGGTGTGTATGGCAGCCTTACCTTAGTTGTGAGGGATAAAAAGCCTTATTTCAGGGAGCCTTACCTTAGTGTAGTGTGTGAGGGGGGAGCCTTACCTTAGTGTAGTGTGTGAGGTGGAGCCTTACCTTAGTGTAGTGTGTGAGGGGGAGCTTTACCTTAGTGTTGTGTGTGAGGGGGAGCCTTACCTTAGTGTTGTGTGTGAGGGGGAGCCTTACCTTAGTTGTGAGGGATAAAAAGCCTTATTTCAGGGAGCCTTACCTTAGTGTAGTGTGTGAGGGGGAGCCTTACCTTAGTGTTGTGTGTGAGGGGGAGCTTTACCTTAGTGTTGTGTGTGAGGGGGAGCCTTACCTTAGTGTTGTGTGTGAGGGGGAGCCTTACCTTAGTTGTGAGGGATAAAAAGCCTTATTTCAGGGAGCCTTACCTTAGTGTAGTGTGTGAGGGGGAGCCTTACCTTAGTGTAGTGTGTGAGGGGGAGCCTTACCTTAGTGTTGTGTGTGAGGGGGAGCCTTACCTTAGTGTTGTGTGTGAGGGGAGCCTTACCTTAGTGTTGTGTGTGAGGGGGAGCCTTACCTTAGTTGTGAGGGATAAAAAGCCTTATTTCAGGGAGCCTTACCTTAGTGTAGTGTGTGAGGGGGAGCCTTACCTTAGTGTTGTGTGTGATGGGGAGCATTACCTTAGTGTAGTGTGTGATGGGGAGCATTACCTTAGTGTAGTGTGTGAGGGGGAGCCTTACCTTAGTGTAGTGTGTGAGGGGCAGCCTTACCTTAGTGTAGTGTGTGAGGGGGAGCATTACCTTAGTGTAGTGTGTGAGGGGGAGCCTTACCTTAGTGTAGTGTGTGAGGGGCAGCCTTACCTTAGTGTAGTGTGTGAGGGGGAGCCTTACCTTAGTGTAGTGTGTGAGGGGCAGCCTTACCTTAGTGGTGTAGGTGATGGAGCCGAAGGCGTTGCGAGCGTGACAGTAGTAAAGGTCGGCGTCACTCTGATTCACACTCTTGATGGTGAGCTGCATCAGGTAGTTACCTTCGCCCTGGTCAGGAGAGAGAGAAGCAGTATTACAGCGGGCAGAGTCACCAAGAAGCAGCTTCACCAGTAAGCAGAGTCACCAGCCATCTCAAACCCCACCAAAGACGTCCATCTTCGTCCAAGTCAGTCTCAGAACTTCCGCTCACATATCTGAGAGCCCTCAGCTCAAGAGCTGAGGGCCCGACGTCCCTCAGGGCTAAAACCCAGACCGAAAACCCTCCAAGCTTATCCCAGTGGGTTTCCACCTGAAAGCTCTGAGTTACGCGGTCACTCAGATCCCTCGCACCCCAGATCAGAGTACACAAGGAAAGAGTACTTAGAGAGTGCAGATAGAGCACAGGTGGTAGGGTGTGTGAGGGACTGCCACCCTCATTGTAAAGAGATCATACCCTCATTGTGAGGGAGAGAGAGGGTCCACTCCCCTCACTGTGAGGGGAGAGAGGGAGGTCCCCTCACCTTCCCCATTGTAATGAAAACGGCATCAGTGAGAACTAACGAGGCAGATGGGGTCAAAAAGTGGAGAAGGTGATCAGGTTCCCGAGAACGACAGTACATCAGGCCAGGGGTTAGCCAGCTAGGGTGAGCCAGCTAGGGTGAGCCAGCTAGGGTGAGCCAGCTAGGGTGAACCAGCTAGAGTGAGCCAGCTAGGGTGAGCCAGCTAGGGTAAGCCAGCTAGGGTGAACCAGCTAGAGTGAGCCAGCTAGGGTGAGCCAGCTAGGGTAGAGCCAGCTAGGGTGAGCCAGCTAGGGTAGAGCCAGCTGGAGCCAGCTGGCTCCACACACTCCACAAAGGTGGGAACTATACCTCCACGCAACAAAGCGTACTGTACCTGGTTGATACCACTAGAGTGCCACAACACACACACACACACACAAGGACGTGGCCACACAGCACCTTACCTGAGCACCGGTGATGGTGTTGATGGCGTAGTTGCCTCCGTGTATGACGGGCACTCTGCCCTCAGGGTCCCGCCACCACACCAGGGAGGGCTCCGGCCAGGCGTCGACGCCACACTCCAGCGTGGTCGACCTCCCCTCTAGCACCCTCACCACCTCCTGGGCCACGATCCGGGGGCGTCCTGCAACACCAGGGAACCGCAACTAGGTGAGTACAACTAGGTGAGGACACATGTCTATTACAGCCCACACTGCCCGCGAGGATTGGTCGTTAGAGCGGAAGGCTCGGGTCTGTACGAGGGTCGGCGTTCGATCCCCAATGGTGCTTTGGGCTTTTTGTCTGTCCTCGTATCCCAGTTCTCAGTCTGTCTTATATATCCCAGCTCTCAGTCTGTCCTTATATCCAAGCTCTCAGTCTGTCCTTATATCCCAGCTCTCAGTCTGTCCTTATATCCCAGCTCTCAGTCTGTCTTATATATCCCAGCTCTCAGTCTGTCCTCATATCCCAGCTCTCAGTATGTCCTCATATCCCAGCTCTCAGTCTGTCCTCATATACCAGCTCTCAGTATGTCCTCATATCCCAGCTCTCAGTCTGTCCTCATATACCAGCTCTCAGTCTGTCCTCATATCCCAGCTCTCAGTCTGTCTTTATATACCAGCTCTCAGTCTGTCCTCATATCCCAGCTCTCAGTCTGTCCTCATATCCCAGCTCTCAGTCTGTCTTTATATACCAGCTCTCAGTCTGTCCTCATATCCCAGCTCTCAGTCTGTCCTCATATCCCAGCTCTCAGTCTGTCTTTATATACCAGCTCTCAGTCTGTCTTTATATCCCAGCTCTCAGTCTGTCCTCATATCCCAGCTCTCAGTCTGTCCTCATATCCCAGCTCTCAGTCTGTCCTCATATACCAGCTCTCAGTCTGTCCTCATATCCCAGCTCTCAGTCTGTCTTTATATACCAGCTCTCAGTCTGTCCTCATATCCCAGCTCTCAGTCTGTCCTCATATCCCAGCTCTCAGTCTGTCCTCATATCCCAGCTCTCAGTCTGTCTTTATATACCAGCTCTCAGTCTGTCCTCATATCCCAGCTCCTAGGCTGTCCTTATAGATCCCAGCTCTCAGTCTGTCCTCATATACTAGCTCTCAGTCTGTTCTCATATACTAGCTCTCAGTCTGTCCTCATATCACAGCTCTCAGTATGTCCTCATATCCCAGCTCTCAGTCTGTCCTCATATCCCAGCTCTCAATCTGTCCTCATATCCCAGCTCCTTGTCCTCGGAACCCTTCCAAATATAATAGTCATACCGACATACTATTGTCTCCTCATAAGTGCCTCACATCCTTAATTCTTCAGCCCCGTACTCACCGACTGGAATATGAGGCCGTACCCCATACCTCATGGGGCACAATGCACTCAGTGGTGAGACACACTCACCAGGGAGCATGGGACACACTCACCATCTTTGTCTTACAAATAAGACTTACATATACCCATATATATGGAATAAGAGACCGATAAGTAGATAGAAAATGTCACAAGTGACAACAAGAGAGAGAGAGAGAGAGAGAGAGAGAGAGAGAGAGAGAGAGAGAGAGAGAGAGAGAGAGAGAGAGAGAGAGAGAGAGAGAGAGAGAGAAGAGAGAGATAGGAGAGAGAGAGAGATAGAGAGAGAGAGACAGAGAGAGAGAGAGAGAGAGAGAGAGAGAGAGAGAGAGAGAGAGAGAGAGAGAGAGAGAGAGAGAGAGGAGAGAGAGAGAGAGAGAGAGAGAGAGAGAGAGAGAGAGAGAGAGGAGAGAGAGAGAGAGAGAGAGAGAGAGAGAGAGAGAGAGAGAGAGAGAGAGAGAAGAGAGAGAGAGAGAGAGAGAGAGAGAGAGCAGAGAGAGAGAGAGAGAGAGAGAGAGAGAGAGAGAGAGAGAGAGACAGAGAGAGAGAGAGAGAGAGAGAGAGAGAGAGAGAGAGAGAGAGAGAGAGAGAGAGAGAGAGAGAGAGAGAGAGAGAGAGAGAGAGAGAGAGAGAGAGAGAGAGAGAGAGAGAGACAGAGAGAGAGAGAGAGAGAGAGAGAGAGAGAGAGAGAGAGAGAGAGAGAGAGAGAGACTCACGGGAGATGGTGATGGTCCTGGAGGCCTGCATGGGGGTGCCGTAGCCATTGTCGGCGTAACAGGAAATCTCCTTCATCTCCCTCGTCACGTTCTGAACGACCGTCACCATGTGTCGCGTCACGTCCTGCCAGGGAGGAGACACACAGTACAGTCCCACCACCAGTCACATTCTGCAACACTCACTCCAACACTGCCTCCAAACACCTCCAACACTAACCCCAAACACCTCCAACACTGACCCCAAACACCTCCAACACTGCCCCCAAACACCTCCAACACTGCCTAGACACTGTCAACATTTTTGTTGACCTAAAATTATTTACCTGAGTCCATATCTCAAAGAGTAAAGATTGAGGTGTCTTATTTGTTACCTAGGTTTTATTAGAGGGGCTCACAGTAAAATATACACCCCACACCTGAGGCCTCTTGGAGTGTGAATCAAATTCTTTTATCGTGCCCTGAAGTCCCATTCTGCAGCAGTTGAGATTAATCCCTCGGCTCAAACTGCCTGCAGGAGAGGACGGAACAGTTCAAATACCTTACGAGAAAAGTTGGCTGAGCTCAACTGGTCTCTGTACACAGTCCGGTAACTGAGCCCAGCCTCCTGTTGTGGTAGTACTTACAGCTCAACTGGTCTCTGTACACAGTCCGGTAACTGAGCCCAGCCTCCTGTTGTGGTAGTACTTACAGCTCAACTGGTCTCTGTACACAGTCCGGTAACTGAGCCCAGCCTCCTGTTGTGGTAGTACTTACAGTAACGATGAGGACTATACTATATATATACCCACCTACAACGCAATTATAACGTAGCAATCTGAACTATTGAGTTGGACAAACCGGAAAACTATATTTGTTACTTGTGTTGCTTTGACAAACTAACCTAACCTAACCTAACCTAACCTAACCTAACCTAACCTAACCTAACCTAACCTAACCTAACCTTCTTAGGCCTAATACACGACATCTGAGGCCTAATGTAGTCCACATGCATGCTAAACTAGGCCTAGGAATATTTAAGTTTGTTCTACACCATTATTTATTTCAATTGAATTCCTTACTAGTCAGTATACTACTATCCTCATCACCTGGTGGATGAGGATGCTGAGGTCACTCACCTGGTGGATGAGGATGCTGGGGTCACTCACCTGGTGGATGAGGATGCTGGGGTCACTCACCTGGTGGATGAGGATGCTGGGGTCACTCACCTGGTGGATGAGGATGCTGGGGTCACTCACCTGGTGGATGATGATGCTGGGGCCACTCACCTGGTGGATGAGGATGCTGAGGTCACTCACCTGGTGGATGAGGATGCTGGGGTCACTCACCTGGTGGATGAGGATGCTGAGGGCCACTCACCTGGTGGATGAGGATGCTGGGGTCACTCACCTGGTGGATGAGGATGCTGGGGGTCACTCACCTGGTGGATGAGGATGCTGGGGTCACTCACCTGGTGGATGAGGATGCTGGGGGTCACTCACCTGGTGGATGAGGATGCTGAGGGCCACTCACCTGATGGATGAGGATGCTGAGGGCCACTCACCTGGTGGATGAGGATGCTGAGGGCCACTCACCTGGTGGATGAGGATGCTGAGGTCACTCACCTGGTGGATGAGGATGCTGGGGCCACTCACCTGGTGGATGAGGATGCTGAGGCCACTCACCTGGTGGATGAGGATGCTGAGGTCACTCACCTGGTGGATGAGGATGCTGGGGCCACTCACCTGGTGGATGAGGATGCTGAGGTCACTCACCTGGTGGATGATGATGCTGGGGGTCACTCACCTGGTGGATGAGGATGCTGAGGGCCACTCACCTGGTGGATGAGGATGCTGAGGTCACTCACCTGGTGGATGAGGATGCTGGGGCCACTCACCTGGTGGATGAGGATGCTGAGGTCACTCACCTGGTGGATGATGATGCTGGGGGTCACTCACCTGGTGGATGAGGATGCTGGGGCCACTCACCTGGTGGATGAGGATGCTGAGGTCACTCACCTGGTGGATGAGGATGCTGGGGTCACTCACCTGGTGGATGAGGATGCTGGGGTCACTCACCTGGTGGATGAGGATGCTGGGGTCACTCACCTGGTGGATGAGGATGCTGGGGTCACTCACCTGGTGGATGAGGATGCTGGGGTCACTCACCTGGTGGATGAGGATGCTGAGGGCCACTCACCTGGTGGATGAGGATGCTGGGGTCATTCACCTGGTGGATGAGGATGCTGGGGGGTCACTCACCTGGTGGATGAGGATGCTGGGGTCACTCACCTGGTGGATGAGGATGCTGGGGTCACTCACCTGGTGGATGAGGATGCTGAGGGCCACTCACCTGGTGGATGAGGATGCTGGGGGTCACTCACCTGGTGGATGAGGATGCTGGGGTCACTCACCTGGTGGATGAGGATGCTGAGGCCACTCACCTGGTGGATGAGGATGCTGGGGTCATTCACCTGGTGGATGAGGATGCTGGGGGGTCACTCACCTGGTGGATGAGGATGCTGGGGCCACTCACCTGGTGGATGAGGATGCTGGGGTCACTCACCTGGTGGATGAGGATGCTGGGGCCACTCACCTGGTGGATGAGGATGCTGGGGTCACTCACCTGGTGGATGAGGATGCTGGGGTCACTCACCTGGTGGATGAGGATGCTGGGGCCACTCACCTGGTGGATGAGGATGCTGGGATCACTCACCTGGTGGATGAGGATGCTGGGGTCACTCACCTGGTGGATGATGATGCTGGGGCCACTCACCTGGTGGATGAGGATGCTGGGGTCACTCACCTGGTGGATGAGGATGCTGGGGTCACTCACCTGGTGGATGATGATGCTGGGGCCACTCACCTGGTGGATGAGGATGCTGGGGTCACTCACCTGGTGGATGAGGATGCTGGGGTCACTCACCTGGTGGATGATGATGCTGGGGCCACTCACCTGGTGGATGAGGATGCTGGGGCCACTCACCTGGTGGATGAGGATGCTGGGGTCACTCACCTGGTGGATGAGGATGCTGGGGCCACTCACCTGGTGGATGAGGATGCTGGGGCCACTCACCTGGTGGATGAGGATGCTGGGGTCACTCACCTGGTGGATGAGGATGCTGGGGTCACTCACCTGGTGGATGAGGGTGCTGGGGTCACTCACCTGGTGGATGAGGGTGCTGAGGTCACTCACCTGGTGGATGAGGATGCTGAGGGCCACTCACCTGGTGGATGAGGATGCTGAGGGTCACTCACCTGGTGGATGAGGATGCTGAGGTCACTCACCTGGTGGATGATGATGCTGGGGCCACTCACCTGGTGGATGAGGATGCTGGGGTCACTCACCTGGTGGATGAGGATGCTGGGGGTCACTCACCTGGTGGATGAGGATGCTGGGGCCACTCACCTGGTGGATGAGGATGCTGGGGTCACTCACCTGGTGGATGAGGATGCCGGAGATGTAGAGGGAGACGGTGGGGGGCGGGGACCCCATGGCGATGCACAACACGGTCATGGTGGCGCCCTCGATGATCAGGTTGATCGGGTGGACTGTTGGGGTCTGCAGGCGGAACGGAACTCATCAACAAGAGCATCAACACAAACATCAACAAGAACATCACCACAAACATCAACACCAAACATCAACACAAACATTAACACCAAACATCAACACAAAACATCAACACAAAACATCAACACAAAACATCACCACAAAACATCAACACAAAACATCAACACAAAACATCACCACAAAACATCAACACAAACATCACTACAAAACATCAACACAAACATCAACACAAAACATCAACACAAACATCAACACAAACATCAACACAAACGTCAACACAAAACATCAACACAAAACATCAACACAAACATCAACACAAACGTCAACACAAAACATCAACACAAACATCAACATAAACATCAACACAAACATCAACACAAAACATCAACACAAACATCAACACAAACATCAACACAAAACATCAACACAAACATCAACACAAAACATCAACACAAACATCAACACAAAACATCAACATAAACATCACCACAAAACATCACCACAAAACATCACCACAAAACATCACCACAAAACATCAACACAAAACATCACCACAAAACATCACCACAAAACATCACCACAAAACATCAACACAAAACATCAACACAAAACATCAACATAAACATCAACACAAAACATCACCACAAAACATCACCACAAAACATCACCACAAAACATCACCACAAAACATCACCACAAAACATCACCACAAAACATCACCACAAAACATCAACACAAAACATCACCACAAAACATCACCACAAAACATCACCACAAAACATCACCACAAAACATCACCACAAAACATCAACACAAAACATCAACACAAAACATCACCACAAAACATCACCACAAAACATCAACACAAAACATCAACACAAAACATCAACACAAACATCAACACAAACATCAACATAAACATCACCACAAGAACATCAACACCAAACATCACCACAAAACATCACCACAAAACATCACCACAAAACATCACCACAAAACATCAACACAAAACATCAACACAAAACATCACCACAAAACATCACCACAAAACATCACCACAAAACATCACCACAAAACATCAACACAAAACATCACCACAAAACATCACCACAAAACATCACCACAAAACATCAACACAAAACATCAACACAAAACATCAACACAAACATCAACACAAACATCAACATAAACATCACCACAAGAACATCAACACCAAACATCACCACAAAACATCAACATAAACATCAACATAAACATCACCACAAAACATCACCACAAAACATCACCACAAAACATCACCACAAAACATCACCACAAAACATCACCACAAAACATCACCACAAAACATCACCACAAAACATCACCACAAAACATCAACACAAAACATCACCACAAAACATCACCACAAAACATCACCACAAAACATCACCACAAAACATCAACACAAAACATCACCACAAAACATCACCACAAAACATCACCACAAAACATCAACACAAAACATCAACACAAAACATCAACACAAACATCAACACAAACATCAACATAAACATCACCACAAGAACATCAACACCAAACATCACCACAAAACATCAACATAAACATCAACATAAACATCACCACAAAACATCACCACAAAAACATCACCACAAAACATCACCACAAAACATCAACATAAACATCAACATAAACATCACCACAAAACATCACCACAAAACATCACCACAAAACATCACCACAAAACATCACCACAAAACATCACCACAAAACATCACCACAAAACATCAACACAAAACATCAACACAAAACATCACCACAAAACATCACCACAAAACATCACCACAAAACATCACCACAAAACATCACCACAAAACATCACCACAAAACATCAACACAAAACATCACCACAAAAACATCACCACAAAACATCAACACAAAACATCACCACAAAACATCACCACAAAACATCACCACAAAACATCAACACAAAACATCAACACAAAACATCAACACAAACATCAACACAAACATCAACATAAACATCACCACAAGAACATCAACACCAAACATCACCACAAAACATCAACATAAACATCAACATAAACATCACCACAAAACATCACCACAAAACATCAACACAAAACATCAACACAAAACATCACCACAAAACATCAACACAAAACATCACCACAAAACATCAACACAAAACATCAACACAAACATCAACACAAACATCAACATAAACATCACCACAAGAACATCAACACCAAACATCACCACAAAACATCAACATAAACATCACCACAAAACATCACCACAAAACATCAACATAAACATCAACACAAAACATCAACACAAAACATCAACATAAACATCACCACAAAACATCAACACAAAACATCACCACAAAACATCAACATAAACATCACCACAAAACATCAACACAAAACATCACCACAAAACATCAACACAAAACATCAACACAAAACATCACCACAAACATCAACATAAACATCACCACAAGAACATCAACATAAACATCACCACAAAACATCACCACAAAACATCAACACAAAACATCACCACAAAACATCACCACAAAACATCACCACAAAACATCAACACAAAACATCAACACAAAACATCACCACAAAACATCACCACAAAACATCACCACAAAACATCACCACAAAACATCACCACAAAACATCACAAAACATCAACACAAAACATCAACACAAAACATCACCACAAAACATCACCACAAAACATCACCACAAAACATCAACACAAAACATCACCACAAAACATCAACACAAAACATCAACACAAAACATCAACACAAAACATCACCACAAAACATCAACACAAAACATCACCACAAGAACATCAACATAAACATCACCACAAAACATCAACACAAACATCACCACAAAACATCAACACAAAACATCAACACAAAACATCACCACAAGAACATCAACATAAACATCACCACAAAACATCACCACAAAACATCAACACAAAACATCAACACAAAACATCACCACAAAACATCAACACAAAACATCACCACAAAACATCAACACAAAACATCACCACAAAACATCAACACAAAACATCACCACAAAACATCAACACAAAACATCACCACAAAACATCAACACAAAACATCACCACAAAACATCAACACAAACATCAACACAAACATCAACACAAACATCAACATAAACATCACAGAACATCAACACCAAACATCACCACAAAACATCACCACAAAACATCACCACAAAACATCACAAAACATCAACACAAAACATCACCACAAAACATCACCACAAAACATCAACACAAACATCAACACAAAACATCAACACAAAACATCAACACAAACATCAACACAAAACATCAACACAAAACATCAACACAAAACATCACCACAAAACATCAACACAAACATCAACAAGAACATCACAAAACATCACCACAAAACATCAACACAAAACATCACCACAAAACATCAACACAAACATCAACACAAACATCAACATAAACATCAACATAAACATCAACACCAAACATCAACACAAACATCAACACAAACATCAACACAAACATCAACACAAAACATCAACACAAAACATCAACACAAACTCTTCAACTTTACCTCCAAAAACTAACAAATGATAAAAATCAATTACACACATTATGAGATAATGTCTACGAACACATCTTTTTTATCTTCCAAATTTAATTAACTCAGTCAGTAAAAATGTGGAGGAATGTTTCGTGTTTCAATTATCTGATACTTTTCTGCCCCCTAAATTAGTTTTAAAGAATGAGTTGTTCTACTGTACATTGTGAGGGTTGAGGGGGGGGGGGAGGTGATTGTGAGGGAGGGGTGGTGGGGGTGATTGTGAGGGGGTGATTGTGAACGTAGTTGTGAAAGGGGGTTTAAAATGGGTGATTGTGGGGGGTTGACTGGGTGAATGTGTAGGTTCAGAGACACAACATTCTCACTAGGCCTATTATGAGTTCAATACTGGTAGGCCTATTGTGAGTGATTCCATATAGATCTATTGTGTAAAACGGCCCAATAAACTTGCAAAAGATTCATCGGTGAACTGGTGAACAATCAGGGCTGGTGGCGAATGAACAACCTGCCAGTTGACTGACCTCGACGAAGGCCGGGTAGGCCGGATCCGTCCAGGCCAGGAGCGTCTCAGACGGCCGACTCTCGCCCATGTTGTTGACGGCCGTGACGTAGATGACGTACTGCGTGTTGGGCGTCAGGGACTCCAGACGCAGCGCCGTGGAGCCCGTTGTGGTGACGTTGTAGACGCTCGCGTCCACTCTACTTCCCAGCGCCCGGTAGTGTAGCTTGTACCTGTGAGGTGAGGCACAGTGGTGGAGTGTGAGGTGAGGTACAGTGGTGGAGTGTGAGGTGAGGTACAGTGGTGGAGTGTGAGGTGAGGTACAGTGGTGGAGTGTGAGGTGAGACACAGTGGTGGAGTGTGAGGTGAGACACAGTGGTGGAGTGTGAGGTGAGGCACAGTGGTGGAGTGTGAGGTGAGACACAGCTGCCCTAAGAGGAGAGTATACTGTCTGGGGGTTGTATAGAGAGGATGGGTTTCTACAGGACCTTCCGCATGTTCTTAGGACCTTGTTCTTTTCCATAACAGCATAAGAACATGAAAAAATTAAAAAAAACATATGAACATTTATATAAAAGTAACTGCAAAAGACCTATTGCCATATACGAGGCAACTTATATTAATATCCACCCAAACTCATTCATATATATATATATATATATATATATATATATATATGCAATTGACGATCACAAAACACTGATCATTTTATGCGGAAAATCCACAGAGAAATATGAAAGGAGGTGAACGTTTCGGCTTTGTTAAAGCCTTTGTCAACACCAGACTGACTAAGGAGAAGGGAGAAGGCGGAGGATGTATAGGCCGACACCTGACCAACCCATCCCTAGGGTTGGTCAATTACACCTGACCCAATTACACCAATTTTGGTTAATTACACCTGACCAACCCTAGGGATGGGTTGGTCAGGTGTCGGCCTATACATCCTCCGCCTTCTCCCTTCTCCTTAGTCAGTCTGGTGTTGACAAAGGCTTTAACAAAGCCGAAACGTTCAACTCCTTTCATATTTCTCTGTGGATTTTCCGTATATATATATATATATATATATATATATATATATATATATATATATATATATATATATATATATATATATATATATATATGTCTAGCCTACGCTTGAAACAATCCAGCGACCCCCCACGTCTATTATGTTACCCGGTAGTTTGTTAGGTAACTCAACAGCCATGTTTCCAAACCAGTATTTACCCAGGTCTTTCCTGAACCTGATCTAGTCTATATCTATTGTTTCCAGTTGTGTTTTGAATAGATATATTCCCCACGTCATTATTTCCTCTTTCTCACACCCTCTTTCACCAATATAAATGCTTCAATTTCTCCTCGTCTATCTAGAGAATGTAAATTATGCTTTTTTTTCTGTTATAAGGAATTTTAATGTGTTTTGTGACCTGTTATAGGCACAAAGACACATTTTATAGATTAGAAAATATTGGTTAATCAGGAGACTTAGTAAACGAGTACTAAGTACTCGTTTACTAAGTATTTAGTGCTTAGCTAGTACTATACTAGCCAGTACTATTGAGTCTAAGAATCTAATGGACTAAAAATAACAGGACATAGAGACACGAGGGTAAAATAGTTGAGTGATACCTGAATGAGACACTAAGCCTCCTGCAGTGTTCATCAAGTCTTATATGTCTCTAAAAGTTGAATGGGTGAGAATAGACTCACGTGAACTTATCTGTGGGGAGCGCCAGCTCGGGCGGCTGCCAGATGACGGTGAGGGTGGTGGCGGTCTTGCCGTCGAGCACCAGGCTGTGCGGCGACGACGACACCCCCGCCATCAGGCTCCCGTTCAGGGCCCCTTCACTCACGTTGATGGTCAGCACTGACGAAGGCAGCGACGTTCCCTCCTCGTTCATCGAGATCACGAAGAAGTTGTACATGTTCCCGGTCTTGAGCTGGGACACGGTGGCCACGGTGTCTGAGATGTTCATGGTCTGCAGGTGGAGGAGTACCCACTAAGAATACCCTATAAGAATACCCACTAAGAATACCCTATAAGAATACCAACTAAGAATACCCTATAAGAATACCCACTAAGAATACCCACTAAGAATACCCACTAAGAATACCCTATAAGAATACCCACTAAGAATACCCTATAAGAATACCCACTAAGAATACCCTATAAGAACACCCACTAAGAATGCTGTCGCCCTACAGAGAATGTCACGATATCGGGGTTGACAATAATTATCTTAAAGTAGACATATGACAACAAAGGAAAGTGGCCAAGTGTGGCCCTACCAGGCCGCCCCTGTATACCACGGTACACCTTCAGTATACATAGCTTCCACGGTACACCTCTATATACATCTTGAAACAGAATACATTTCTTTGTGCATGTATGCCTTGAAGAAGGGTACAGCCATGTATATGTATTTACACAGAGAAGTGGCCGGGTACACCTCACAATGTATTTACACCAAGAAAATGTACACCTCTCAGTAAGTATACACCGAGAAGCACAGAACACCTCAGCGAGGTGTATGGATGATTGCAAAGTCTTTATTATAGCAACAATATTGATAACCACTTTACTTGCTGGTCAATACATGATCTAGACAACACTGCCTTCCTCTCTCTCTCTCTCTCTCTCTCTCCTGCACCAACACGTCTCACGCAGGCGCATTACCTACATACTCAAATTGTTTTGAGCTTCTCTGAAGCAACACAAAGCCCGCTTCGGCGTAATACAATTAGCTGTTCATATGCATGTAAAAGCCTCGTCTGCTCGTACGTTAAATTTAATCCTCTGGGTCAGAAAAACATGCTAGTGGGCGAACACTGCTCGAGTAACTCTGAATCAACGTGGCTCTGACACTGACTCAGCGTCCAATATTTTTTTGAGATATATACAAGAGTTGTTACATTCTTGTAGAGCCACTAGTACGCGTAGCGTTTCGGGCAGGTCCCTGGAATACGATCCCCGCCGCGAAGAATCGTTTTTTCATCCAAGTACACATTTTACTGTTGCGTTAAACAGAGGCTACAGTTAAGGAATTGCGCCCAGTAAATCCTCCCCGGCCAGGATACGAACCCATGACATAGCGCTCGCGGAACGCCAGGCGAGTGTCTTACCACTACACCACGGAGACTGTATTGTGTCCGCTGGCACTGGCTATACGTACGTTGTTGAGGGCGAAGACGGCCTTTGAGGCGGAGTGCTTGTCCACGCTCTGATAATGGAGTTGGTACTGCGTGACGTTCGGACCGTTGTCGGGGGCCTGCCATATTAAGGTCACCTGGCCCGCACCGACCTTGGTAGCGTGCAGGCGGCTGACCGGCGCTGGCAGCAGGTCCACACCTGAGACAGGGGAGTGAAAAGTTGTCGTTCAGTGCCCCTCTGAAGCTCCTACAGTACAGGAACAGTGTTACCTAAAGTTTCTCCAGTAGGAGAAAAGGTGAACAGCTTCCCCCCAGTTGTTCAGTCTGTGAACACCTTGCCCCAGTTGTACAGTCTGTGAACACCTTGCCCCAGTTGTTCAGTCTGTGAACACCTTGCCCCAGCGTTCAGTCTGTGAACACCTTACCCCAGTGTTCAGTCTGTGAACACCTTGCCCCAGTGTTCAGTCTGTGAACTCCTTGCCCCAGTGTTCAGTCTGTGAACACCTTGCCCCAGTTGTTCAGTCTGTGAACACCTTGCCCCAGTTGTTCAGTCTGTGAACATCTTGCCCCAGTTGTTCAGTCTGTGAACACCTTTACCCAGTGTTCAGTCTGTGAACACCTTCCCCCCAGTGTTCAGTCTGTGAACACCTTGCTCCAGTCTTCAGTCTGTGAACACCTTGCCCCAGTGTTCAGTCTGTGAACACCTTGCCCCAGTGTTCAGTCTGTGAACACCTTGCCCCAGTGTTCAGTCTGTGAACACCTTGCCCCAGTGTTCAGTCTGTGAACACCTTTCCCCAGTGTTCAGTCTGTGAACACCTTCCCCCCAGTGTTCAGTCTGTGAACACCTTGCTCCAGTCTTCAGTCTGTGAACACCTTGCCCCAGTTGTTCAGTCTGTGAACATCTTGCCCCAGTTGTTCAGTCTGTGAACACCTTGCCCCAGTGTTCAGTCTGTGAACACCTTGCCCCAGTCTTCAGTCTGTGAACACCTTGCCCCAGTGTTCAGTCTGTGAACACCTTGCCCCAGTGTTCAGTCTGTGAACACCTTGCCCCAGTGTTCAGTCTGTGAACACCTTGCCCCAGTGTTCAGTCTGTGAACACCTTGCCCCAGTTGTTCAGTCTGTGAACACCTTGCCCCAGTGTTCAGTCTGTGAACACCTTCCCCCCAGTGTTCAGTCTGTGAACACCTTGCTCCAGTCTTCAGTCTGTGAACACCTTGCCCCAGTGTTCAGTCTGTGAACACCTTGCCCCAGTCTTCAGTCTGTGAACACCTTGCCCCAGTCTTCAGTCTGTGAACACCTTGCCCCAGTGTTCAGTCTGTGAACACCTTGCCCCAGTGTTCAGTCTGTGAACACCTTACCCCAGTGTTCAGTCTGTGAACACCTTGACCCAGTGTTCAGTCTGTGAACACCTTGCCCCAGTGTTCAGTCTGTGAACACCTTGCCCCAGTGTTCAGTCTGTGAACACCTTGCCCCAGTGTTCAGTCTGTGAACACCTTGCCCCAGTGTTCAGTCTGTGAACACCTTGCTCCAGTCTTCAGTCTGTGAACACCTTGCCCCAGTGTTCAGTCTGTGAACACTGTGAAACAAGCCCAACAATGCCGATGTCATTTGCATATTGAAGCTTACCTTCCGGAACACCCAAAAGCTGAAACACAAAGCTGGAATTTAAGTGTGCTTTGTTGCACGGAGTTATTAAACCAGGGGAAACTGGCCCCTGATTAAACTAGCAGCAACTGGCACCACATATTCCTCTACGGAATGTGTACGTGTGTGACACCTACCTTCGTCAACGGAATGTGTACTTGTGTGGCGCCTACCTTCGTCAACGGAATGTGTACGTGTGTAGCGCCTACCTTCGTCAACGGAATGTGTACGTGTGTAGCGCCTACCTTCGTCAACGGAATGTGTACTTGTGTGGCGCCTACCTTCGTCAACGGAATGTGTACGTGTGTGGCGCCTACCTTCGTCAACGGAATGTGTACTTGTGTGGCACCTACCTTCGTCAACGGAATGTGTACTTGTGTGGCGCCTACCTTCGTCAACGGAATGTGTACGTGTGTAGCGCCTACCTTCGTCAACGGAATGTGTACTTGTGTGGCGCCTACCTTCGTCAACGGAATGTGTACGTGTGTAGCGCCTACCTTCGTCAACGGAATGTGTACGTGTGTAGCGCCTACCTTCGTCAACGGAATGTGTACGTGTGTAGCGCCTACCTTCGTCAACGTAATGTGTACTTGTGTAGCGCCTACCTTCCTCAACGGAATGTGTACGTGTGTGGCACCTACCTTCGTCAACGGAATGTGTACGTGTGTGTGGCACCTACCTTCGTCAACGGAATGTGTACGTGTGTGGCACCTACCTTCCTCAAGGCACATCATAATGTTGCCGATGTAAGGCATGCAGACGGTGGGTGTGGCGTTGTTGGAGTTGAAGGAGCCGGAGCAGAGGGCGGAACAAGCGTTGGGCACTCCACGACGTTGACAACACGGCATGTGGTTCCGTCCACCCACGGCACACCTCAAGAGACTCGTCAGCTCGTTCGTGCACGTCACCACCAGGGCTCTGACGTGCGACATGCGCGCGTTGTAGTCGCAGAGAGGCATGCAGCCAGGGCTCAGGTTGACGCTGCGACAGCACTCCGTCACGTTGTACGCGTTGTCCTGGAGCCGCTGTACGCGCGCTTCTGAGGGCGTGCGGAAGAGCACGCGCTCCGAGGGGTCGCCCGTGCCGTGCTTGTTGACTGCCTGCACGTACACTTCGTACTCCGTGTCCGGGCACAGGTTCTCCAGCACGTACGGTGACTTGTCCGTGTACACTCCGTGGTACGACACCTCCATGTTGTTTATGAACCTGCAACAGTAAACACAGTTGATGTACAGTTGAGAGGCGAGACCAGTTGAGAGGTGGGACCAAAGAGCCAAAGCTCAACCCCCGCAAGCACAACTAGGTGAGTACAGGTTAGTTTACTCCTCGGAAGAATATTGAATATATTCCCTCATCTCACATATTTTTAAAGTAATTTACATACCATTAAGTTCAACCGTGAAGTTATCCTTCATCAGTAATCCATCATCGTAGTCACTTAACAGTCTCACAGTAGACCCGTATGATACCAGTACACTACCAGCCGTCAAACAGTACACAGTGCCCAATACACTACCCATCTCACCCTACACTACCAGTCACGCTCACTGCAGGTATCATCGGTCGACAGAGCTTCGGCCTCACACACACACGCGGGGTCCACGGTTCGAGCCTCGTACAGCCCCAGATGAATAGAATGTTTATTTCCCCGCAAGTGTGGATGGCAATTAATATATATATATATCACTCCTCAACTTACCATTTCGCGGCACACTCGCGCGAGGGTTGAATAGGCCTGAAGTAGGCGTGGTAGGCGGTGACGGAGTCCCCCAGCAGTGTAGGGGCGGCCCAGTGCAGGAGTACGAAGGTCGGGTTGGTGTTCGTAATGCTGACCTTGCCAGGAGCCCCCGGCAGCACATTGTAACCCTTCAGGAGGCAGCTCCGGTAGTCGTTGAAGTAGTCCACACATCTGGTAAACACAAATCAAGTTATTAAACATGTTTGCAACATTTATGCAATCAAAATAAAGTTTCTTTGAACGCTCTCGCTTCGACGGCATCATTCCTGCCTTCTGTCACATCCCAAATCCTTATCCTGATCCTTATCCAGGTGCTATATAGTCGATATGGTTTGGTGCTTTCTCCTGATTCCCTCTCGTTTCGACGTTTCCTGTGTGTGTGTGTGTGTGTGTGTGTGTGTGTGTGTGTGTGTGTGTGTGTGTGTGTGTGTGTGTGTGTGTGTGTGTGTGTCTGTGTGTGTGTGTGTGTGTGTGTATCAGGTTGTTCAGTGCTGGGAGCTGGAGATACACAGATCATTTGTTTACAAAAATGTACAATTAGGGGGATAATTGTTTTTGGTGCAATGCGGTGGGATTGAACTCGCGTCATGCATGCGTCTGGGATGACCCCGGGAAGCAAGTTCAATTCTTTATTGTCAAAGGTCAATGGAGGCGAGAAATAACTATATAGGACGTTGTAAAGATAAAATTGTATCTTTATCTTTTTATCTACTCTTCCGCAAACATAATACCCGGCCTATCATGTGTGAAGTGGAAATACACACACACACACACACACACACACACACACACACCCACACACACACACCCACACACACACACACACACCCACACACACCCACACACACACACAGACCCACACACACACACACACACACACACACACACACACACACACACACACACACACACACACACACACACACACACACACACACACACACCTACCTGAAGTACTTGTAGTCAATCTTGGTAACATTGCCGGTGCAGAGCTCGACACAGAGGGGCGGGAGGCCCCGCTCCTTGCAGCAGTCTGAGTGGTCGTAGTCGTTGGCCAGGCAGGAGAATGCCTCGGTGGCCCAGGGCGCGCACACGATCATATCTGGCTCACTGATGTACTTGTTGCTCGGGTCACACAGGTTCCTCAGACACCTGTAACAACGCCTTCATTATACACCTGTAACGACAAGTTCCTCAGACATCTGTAATAAGACCAGGGGGACACCTCAACTCCTATGCAACTCCTTAGACACAAGTAACACACACTTTGTTACACTGCTCGCGTTCTGGGTCATCAATGATGCTACGGTGATGCACAGTGACATCACAATGCAACGCCACGGTAGTAGATATATATATATTGATGTTGTATAAAGGGATCGAACCTGCGTTCCCGAACCGTGATGATACATGTGTCTGATGAGTTCAGGGGTCGTGGGTTCGACTCTACGCAGGCTCTATATTTATTAATTCTATGGTACTTGTGTAAAGGTTATTGGACTTGTGGTAAAGTGATCTATATATTCGGTCTCAATGTGTTTCCCTCAGTCTTATGGAGCACAGAAACTTGTGTCTTCTACTACAGGTGTGTGACGCAACCCTAGCCCACCTGTCAGCCGACCTGTCAGCCCACCTGTCAGCCCACCTGTCAGCCCACCTGTCAGCCCACCTGTCAGCCCACCTGTCAGCCGACCTGTCAGCCCACCTGTCAGCCCACCTGTCAGCCCACCTGTCAGCCCACCTGTCAGCCCACCTGTCAGCCCACCTGTCAACCCACCTGTCAGCCCACCTGTCAGCCCACCTGTCAGCCCACCTGTCAGCCCACCTGTCAACCCACCTGTCAGCCCACCTGTCAGCCCACCTGTCAACCCACCTGTCAGCCCACCTGTCAGCCCACCTGTCAGCCCACCTGTCAGCCCACCTGTCAGCCGACCTGTCAGCCCACCTGTCAGCCCACCTGTCAACCCACCTGTCAGCCCACCTGTCAGCCCACCTGTCAGCCCACCTGTCAGCCCACCTGTCACATTATTTGGCTTAATGTAATAATGTTGTTATGAACTGGTTTTGGTCAGAGGTCTGGTTGACGACCGGGCCGCGGGGATGCTAAGCCCCGGAAACACCTCAAGGTAACCTCAAAGTAACCTGTGAATCATCTACAACATCGCCCAAGATTCAGTTATAACTATTACTTCTCTCTAACCCATATTAACCCATACAACGTTTAACAATTAAGAAACTGGCTGAACATTTTGTTCCAAGGCTACACCAAGTCTGGGCTGCTCATCAGTCTCAGTACAGTGAACATTATATTTTTAAGACTTTGTTGGTCCCGAGGTTGGCTTGAGACCCTCACAAGACTTAAGCCTTCAAGGAGAACGTCTCCGCTTGCAATCCAATTATAACGTCCTTGCATATAAATGCTTGCAATATATTTCTTGCAAGAAATGTATTTTTGATGAGACAGGAAAAGTCTTTTGAGCTGTAGGATAAAATATCCTATTAGTAGCTATCATTATGCTCGAGGTGTTCTCAGTTTACAACGATATAAAGCTTAACACAATTATATATATAATTTATAACTGCGTTGGAGGGGACCTAAACATTCCCTCTAATGTGTTATGTGTGGTTTCCTCCGAGGCTCAGGGTCCCCTTTCTTCCAGCCACAGATTATAAATATTGTAATACAAATAATATGCTGACTATTAACCTGTTAATGATCTTGTCTTGATCTAAAATCCTGACTCGATGTTCAAACACTTGTTAGTGGAGCAGGTTATCTTCTTGAAGTTATCTTGAGATGATTACGGGGCTTAGCGTCCCCGCGGCCCGGTCCTCGACCAGGCCTCCTTTCCGTTATATACCCCCCCCCCAGGAAGCAGCCCGCAGCAGCTGTCTAACTCCCAGGAACCTATTTATTGCTAGGTGAACAGCGGGCATCAAGGTGAAAGAAACTCTGCCCATTTGTTTCCGCCTCCGCCGGGGATCGAACCCGGAACCTCAGGACTACGAATACCGAGCGGTGTCCACTCTGCCTACACAAACACACACACACATATATAACATATATATATATATATATATATATATATATATATATATATATATATATATATATATATATATATATATATATATATATATATATTTTTTTTTTTTTAAATATAGGGAAGGGAGTACCACCTCTGGCTGGAAGAAGGGGGACCCATAGCCTTGGAGGAAACCACACATAACGCATTGGAGGGAATGTGGGTCCCCTCCAATACAGTTTCTGTGTGCTTTTCTCCTACCACCCCCTTCCCTTTTTTTTTTTTCCTTTATTGTGTATTTAAAGGTTACAAAACATACAAGACAAATGCCTAAAGGTTATGGATCTCTTGAAGCTCCTCCGCTTCTGGACAGGAACCGAGGACGCAGCAAGCATTTCCCCTCTGGATCGCCACACTGAGACGCTGAAATATATATATATATATACAGTATATATATATAACTGAAAACTCACACCCCCAGAAGTGACTCGAACCCATACTGCCAGAAGCACTCTACATCTGATGTACAGGATCCCTTAACCAGTTGCAGAGTGCTTCTGGCAGTATGGGTTCGAGTCACTTCTGGTGTGTGAGTTTTCAGTTGCATGTATGCCTGGAGACCGTTCAGGCTTGTTCGCTCATATATATATATATATATATATATATATATATATATATATATATATATATATATATATATATATATATATATATATATATATATATATATATTTCATTGAATATGACCGCATATTCTGTATTTATTATTTTCTGGTTTAGGGCTTCTATCCCTCTAACTATTTTCTTAGCATCAGGGCTTAATTGGAATAGGAGTTCTCCAAAACTCATTTTCGTACTTTTAAGGTGAAGAAAAGAAGTGATTTGCTATAGAGTGTATGACATTTATTTGTATAATTTGCACGACGTTTCGAACCTCCATGGTTCATTCTCAAGTGAACAGATCTTACAATACTTGTCTTGTCCTTACTAAGGACAAGACAAGAACATATCGATGCCAACACAGAAGACAATGTCCAACATAACAGGCCAATTACACTGGATTAATCTTTGTGTTTAGATAGGAGATGCCTCGTATGGGCCAATAAGCCTTCTGCAGCCCCTATGTTTATCCCTTATGTATCCCCCCATGTTTTTCACCTTCATTGTATTATCACCTGACCTAATGCGGGTATAAAATCAACTAGTATTGTAAGATCTGTTCACTTGAGAATGAACCATGGAGGTTCGAAACGTCGTGCAAATTATACAAATAAGTGTAATACACTCTATAGCAAATCACTTCTTTTCTTCACCTTAAAAGTACGAAAATGAGTTTTGGAGAACTCCTATTCCAATTAAGGCCTGATGCTAAGAATATAGTTAGAGGGATAGAAGCCCTAAACCAGAAAATAATAAATACAGAATATGCGGTCATATTCAATGAAACATGTTTGAAAGAAAACCTGCTGCCAGTATACACCAATATATATATATATATATATATATATATATATATATATATATATATATATATATATATATATATATATATATATATATATATATATACTGTATATATATATATATATATATACACTATATATATATATATATATATATATATATATATATATATATATATATATATATATATATATATATACTGCCTACTGCCGGGCACGCAGCTCGGCGGCTACTTTACAGTCAGGTGCTGCACCTACTGAAAGCAAACTTTAGATACTTCTTGAACAACTGACGGTAAGTTTGGCGCTGGAGCGATAACTTTGCCACTTCCGCGTGTAGGTCGACAAGGACCCTTGTTTACACTACCCGAGCTCTGGTCTGTGATACTTGTGACGCTTGGTAAACAAAAGCAGTTCAAAGTTATTACCCTGTAATGCTCAGTAAAAAGGTAGTGCCGCGTTATCACCCTGTGCTGCTTAGTAACAAAGCCGGCTCAATATATCACCTTGTACTACTCAATAACAAAGACATCTTTGCGAGATCACCCTGTGCTGCTCAGTAACAAAGGTAGCTCTATTTATCACCTTGTACTACTCAGTAACAAAGGCCTCTTTACATGATCACCCTCTGCTGCTCAGTAACAAACACCTTTTAAGTAAATATAAACAGAGAGCAAGAGGTCATGATATCAAAGGCTAAATGCCAGCTGGACTGCTCACATTATTGCAGGAAATCGTGTTGATGCGCTTGCAATTAATCCCATCAATATTGTCGGATTAAATCCTCAATTAGAGCTCCGTGCAGTGAACAACGGAGTGAATATATCATAATATGAAAGAATATTAATGTATGTTGCAAGGATACTCAGAGCTGTGTACATTATAAGTAACAAATACATAGATTATTCATTATTTTCAATATATATATACACATAATGTTATTGTTATATATATATTGGTAGTTAAATTAGCATTAGCCACCATCTTACTATGCAATTTTTTATTTATTATTGAATTTGATTTATATAATTTATTTTCTATAGGAATTATTTCGAAATGTTCGTAAAAAATATGTTAGTATATTGGTAAAATGGCCCATAATATAGTTATATATGACCTCTCTCACTCTTGCCATGCTCTCCTTCAAACCCCCACTCTCTCCCCCACTCCTCTACTCTCCCCACTCTCCCCCACACTCCCCTACTCTCCCCCACTCTCCCCGACACTCCCCTACTCTCCCCCACTCTCCCCCATACTCCCCTACTCTCCCTCACACAAGTCCCACTGCCAAAGAGAAGTATTAATATTAAATATTCCCACTACCAACCTGTCCATCACTCAACATTCTTGTTATGTAAAGTGAACACTTAAGAAACACAACCAGGCACTTTGATGGTCTTAAGAACACTTCTTATTAAAACGTCTACTATATATTTAAGTGGTTTCTCGGGTGGGGGGATTTTCTAAGGGGCTCTGTGATAATTTAGACAGTTCTAAGGGGCTCTGTGATATTTTTAGACAGTTCTAAGGGGCTCTGTGATAATTTTAGACAGTTCTAAGGGGCTCTGTGATATTTTTAGACAGTTCTAAGGGGCTCTGTGATATTTTTAGACAGTTCTAAGGGGCTCTGTGATATTTTTAGACAGTTCTAAGGGGCTCTGTGATATTTTTAGACAGTTCTAAGGGGCTCTGTGATATTTTTAGACAGTTCTAAGGGGCTCTGTGATATTTTTAGACAGTTCTAAGGGGCTCTGTGATATTTGGATGCCTTTCCACGTATAGAAAATACAAATATTATTACCCAACTTAGGTACTGTAATTCGGTTTAAGTTAACCTGACACTAAACATAATGTAATGTTTATGTAAATATGTTCAACACAGAATTAAACATCCAATATTACGTTATTCAAATGTAGTTAAGCTATAACGAATAGCAATTCATCTTTATTGTAAAAAATATTTATTTGGAAGGTGTGTTGCCTGTCTTACCCACTGTCACGTGACCAGCCGCAGCCTGCATGTTGGCGTCAAGTTAGAGCACAAGTTAGACCATAAGTCTAATACAGTCTTTATACAGTGTACAGACTTTATACAGTCTCCGTGGTGTAGTGGTAAGACACTCGCCTGGCGTTCCGCGAGCGCTATGTCATGGGTTCGTATCCTGGCCGGGGAGGATATACTGGGCGCAATTCCTTAACTGTAGCCTCTGTTTAACGCAACAGTAAAATGTGTACTTGGTTGTAACAACGATTCTTCGCGGCAGGGGATCGTATTCCAGGGACCATAGGATTAAGGACTTGCCCGAAACGCTACGCGTACTAGTGGCTGTACAAGAATGTAACAACTCTTGTATATATCTCAAAAAAAAAAAATAATAAGTTAAAGCAAGGTAGAGCACTGTTGTGCTCCCTCTAGTATGTATGTACTGCAAGGTTCCCACACACACACAGGTGTCAGCAAATCTTTCATTCTAACAGCAGTGTGGCTCCCTCTACTGCTGTTCTTCGAAACTGAACTTTTAACTATCTTGTCAAAACGTTAATGATCTTGTAGTAATTATCTTATCATAAGCTCACTTAACTTGTAGTTATGTAGCCTTACTTATCCTGACATCAAGTCACTTGGTACTTATGTTTCATACCTTAATTACCCTTGTCATGATCTCACAAATAATCTCATAACTGTGCTTTAATGTACTACTGTTACAGCCCCGCTCCTGTGCCGGATAACTCCACTACGGGCTCACCATAGCCCGTGCTACTTACAACTTTTGGTTCCTAGTAAATAAATCTAAAACAACAACAACAATATATTTACTTTAGACCTAAATACGACCCATAGCTCTTAAATCACACACACACACACACACACACACACACACACACACACACACACACACACACACACACACACACACACACAAACACACACACACACACACACACACACACACACACACACACACACACACACACACACACACACACACACACATGGGTGGGACATGGGTGGACATGGGTGGAAACTGGAAACTCAGATGAGTCACAGAGATGTTAGGAAGTTTTCTTTTAGCGTGAGAGTAGTAGAAAAATGGAATGCACTTGGGGAACAGGTTGTGGAAGCAAATACTATTCATACTTTTAAAACTAGGTATGATAGGGAAATGGGACAGGAGTCATTGCTGTAAACAACCGATAGCTAGAAAGGCGGGATCCAAGAGTCATTGCTCGATCCTGCAAGCACATATAGGTGAGTACATATAGGTGAGTACACACACACACACACACACATGTACGCAGCTTGCTGTATAATGCATGATTATCTACAATACACAACTGTGCGTATAGAAGTTCAACAAACGTCTTGCAAGGTCAAGTAGGCCTTACAGAAGGCCTACAGTACCAGTGTCTTGCTGTACTGACTGTATCATTGTATGGAACATTTACTGCTGTACACAACTGACTTAGTCATCCTGGATGTGTGGGGCCCATACGATATATTTATCATCTGCTAAATCAGATTTTTATTAAATATCATTAAAATGATTATTATATTTATTATTAATATTATTATTGCATATAATATTAATAATAAAACTTAAATTACGGCCGGAGTCACTGAATTGTGTAGAGAATATTGAGGAAGAGAAACAGAAGAGACATAGAGGAAGAAATATTTTAACGCTGAGAAAGATAATATGGGACATAGAGGAAGCTTTCTAGTATTAGCTGAAGCCATGGGGCTACAGCTAACACTACTAGTATATCCGCTGACATCAGTGGATATACCTGTAATGTGGATATACCTGCAATGTGGATATACCTGTAATGTGGATATACCTGTAATGTGGATATACCTGTAATGTGGATATACCTGTAATGTGGATATACCTGTAATGTGGATTTACCTGTAATGCTTGACGCCTTTCTCGGAGCAACAAGAGACAATGTCAGGCAGCTCGGGGTGAACGGTCTCCGTCTTGTTGAGCGAGACAGTCTCCGTCAGCACCCGCAGGTTATACTGAGGTAGGGACGAGCCGTGTCGGTTCACCGACATTACCGACACTTCGTACCACGTTAAGGGTGACAGGTTCTTGATGGTGGCGTGGGTCTGACTGGCCGACACCTACAATAAGCAATACAAGAAAAAAACAAATTAGGATTCACTCCAAAACTTCATTCTCTCGGATAATCCGAAAATTCGAACCCCAGGTCGCGTGGTCCTTCCTCACAGTGAGAACCTACGAACGGGTGAGCAACCGAGCCATATCCTATTCTGAAACCTCAGTTCGAACCTTCCATGACCCCCAATGGGGGATTATACTCAACAAATACATTGGTCTATATTTTTACGACAACACACCTTAACCTGAAGTCTCTTGGGGAGATAGAGGTGGTCATCATGGGTGTCCAGGCCCCCTACATCAGTCGAAGTCACTCCGGTGACATCCTCTGGAGGGTCGAACCTGGGAATCAAGACCAAAAATAAAACAACATTATTTTTTTGCTGAATTGCAGCTGATTTTTCCGACAAAAGTTATACAGATGGGAAATTGGTTTCATTGATTCA